GGGCCAATTATGTGACAAATGGACTCCGGGCCATATTGCTTTACCTAAAAAGGCCAGCCCATAATATTATTTAAAAAACATTTCCACAGCACCATACAGCATATTAAAGGTGGTCCATCTAGGTTGGGCCCGCTTGCCAAGTACAAATTTTTTGGGTTTATTTTTAGTTGGAATCTCACTTTGGACGTTAAAAGATTTAATTTTTTAATTTTTAGTCTTAAAGATTAAATTTTTTACATTAATGATTATACTATCAATGTATTAAAAATATTACATTATTGGCTCTCTCATTACGTTACGTTGTTTATTTTGTTAAAACTCGCCCATTGATGAAATGAATAATAAAAATTGAAAGGGAAGACATTGTAACATTTTTAATATAAAAATTTAATTTTTAAAATATAAAGTAATTTTTTTTAAGTCTTTTAGACTACAAAATGAAACTTAACCTTATCTATAATAGAATTAATCTTTTTTGGGGATTTTACGCATGATTAAATTATAAAATTTGTGGTCTATGGTAAATGACTCCAAACTTTGTAAATTAATTTTGAAAAACTGTAAATGACTTTAAAATTTTATAAAAATTATAAATAACCTTTGAAATTAATTATAAAATTTATAAAATGGCGATACAATAGGAATTTTAAAAACTATAAATAACTTCAAAATTTTATAAGATTCTATTGACGGAATCCACTAGGTTGATTTGATTGCTTATTAATTTCCTTCTCTCACAAGTTCTTGAGTTCTTTGTTTTTTTCTTTTTTCTCTTTCTTCAGCGGATTGTTAGCCTTTTCCTCTTCTGCAGCAAGACTCTCTTATTTTAATTTAATTTTCAGCTAGTGGGTATCTTTCTCTCTCTGAAATGCTTCATGGGTCTTCTTCTTATCTTAATGTGATTCCTCCTTTGTTTTCTTTTATAAAATTTCCATTTCTGGTGAAGCATAATGAAATTTGTTTCCTTCGTTTGAATTGAGTTGGGTTTATCTGATTGAATACTTTTCTTTAGTCAAATTCTTTGATGGTTTCGAATTCCTTTAGCTTGGGTTTCCATGGATTTTGCAGATGAGCTTCTGCTCTACGAAAATTATTTGATTAGTATATAATTGTTTTCAAGAGGGAGGGTTATGGATTCAGAAGCTGTTAAGCTGTTGATTGATTGTTGACGGGCCTCAGTCTCAGTTTAATCAGGTACGTTTCTTATTCCCTAGTTTGTGATGATTCATTGATGTGAGCTTTGCATGTTTGCTTTTCAGTATTTTTGGATGCAAAAATGTTCTTGGAATGTGAATTTTTCACTGCTCGCATGCTCTAGGTGACTAATTGAAGATGCTTGTGTTTCAGTTCAGCAGCAAATTTATGCTGTTAAGAATTCATGTATTTTTTATAATTATGATAAAAATATTGAGGAAATTAAGTTTCTGTTTTTTTTTTTTTGCAAAGGAAATTAATCTCCATTTCTATCTCCGGGACAAGAGAGAGGATCAGGTCTGAAGTTTTATGACGGTAGGTTGGGTGCTTGGCCTTCATTGCTTGCTTTTAATGTTTGTAAGACTTTAGTTTGTGGGGTTGATCCAATTAAAGCAACTCGTTGAAATCTGTTTAGATTTCTCATTGTTGATGCAAAATGTCTGGCTAGCCTAACCATGGTGGTGGCCTATCTAGTTACCTATTACGCGTAGGGAATAAGTTTGTTGTCTATGAAGCACAGATACTTTGATTATGTCAGATACTTGCGGATACGTATTAGATACTTTCTACATATATTGAATAATTAATAAAATATTTATCATTGCTGATACTTGTCAGATACGTGTATCTCCAATTATTTAAATATTTATCATTGCTTATACTTGTTAGATACGTGTATCTCCACGGTTAATAAATTCACCTTATACTTAGTGAGGTGGATTGTTTAGAAATCATGAATTATAAAAATGAGAAATTTTCATTCCAAGATGTTCATTTAGATGTGCATCACATATATCACAAGATTTGTCAATTCTTTATAATCTAGTTAGCTTGAATAGTGAATTTTTAACTTTTATGACTTATGTTAAAAGTTTAAACCAATGAAATCTATTGCAATTAAATGCAAAGTAGAACTTTAGGACTCTCGAAAGGTGACACGTCTTCAGCTTTAAAATTACATAAAATCTTGAATTCTAAATGCTATTAAGCAGTCCTATGTCAGTAGCATAAATTATTTTAATTTGAATGTTCTTTTATTTTGTAATCCCTAGTATTGTAAAGTATGCATACATATCAATGTGTTATATATATATATATATGTATTAGTCGTATCCTATTTTTTGAGATTTTGTCATATCGCCGTATCCGTATTTCCTACATTGAAGCACTTGTCAACTATCAAGACACATGTCTGATGGTTTATGGGCATAGATACAACTGTTGTGAAGCGTTATGGACACTTGTTGGGGTGCGTTGAGATATATGTAATATCATTTTTTCCTAATCACATAAAACATATATAATTGCATTTTTGTTTATGGGATTATGGGCTTCCACATGTAGGCAATGCCTTGAAGCACCTGTCAACATTGATAAAATTGTTGGGCCAAGAAACAATTTTTGTATCATATCAAGGACACTTGTAACTGTGCATGGAAGATGAGTTACAAAACACTAATTACGAGAATGTGATAGCATTGAATCCACATTTTATGAGGGTAAGCGTTGCTTCATCATTATATTCCAAGGCTGGCAATGGTATTTTTGGAAGTAGTTTCCTAGTGTCCATTGATATTGTCTGGGTCTCTTGTCGTTCGTTAGATCTCATGTCCTTCATCAGTGCCCGATTGACAGAAAACTAATAGTCACACTTGCAAATTCTTAGAAAGGAAATTCTATTGCTAATAGTCAATTATTGGACAGGAAATCATGTGGTGTTTAAATTCTCATGTGGGCAAGGTAAGAATCACGTCTTGAAACAATGCCATTCTCATTTTCGGCTTACTGTAGTTTAGAGATAAACTCAAACTAAGTTAATTGTTCAATTTGTCTTTGTATAAAAATGATTGTGGTGGATTGTCTAATTGCTTTACTGTTGGGTTCTTTAATTTGAGATAGTGGATGACCACATTTATGGAATTTATACACCCCCCCCCAACCAAAAAAAAAAAACCCAAAACTAAGACCTCAATCTCGCATTGTCCCCCATGCTAGAGATTTTCTCGCATCATACCCTAGACTATTTGAATATCTCATATTACCTCTAAGCTAAATAGTCACCATATTTTGGATGAAAAATGCCCACATTTTGTTAGTTTTTGGGAGGCCATATGTGGCCTGTATATTTTGTCATTTTTTGTTCAAAACCTTAATGGCATTGGGTTTTTGGGCAATGGAAAGTAAATAATATAGTTGAGGAGGCAATGTGAGAAAGTTGATAGTAGAATGGATAAAGGGAGATAGGTATTGTCGTTTAGGGATGCTATGTGTAATTTTTCATTATGCTGTGGTAATTGTAAACAAGTGACATGAATTATAAATAGCATCTATTTTTATTGTATTTTTAGTTATTTAATTGAACGGTTTCATCTATGGTGTGAATATAGAAGTTTGAAGGAAATTTGTATTTTTATTGCTAAATAAATCAGGTTTTTCTCTCGTAAACTTTGCAATTAGCAGTTTTATCAATATGTGTGCGACCATGCAAATGTATGCAGTATCTATATCAAAATAGTTTGTTTTGGAAAATTATAATGCATAACTATATCTACATGTGTATGTATATTTACTTGGCATAGGCTTCAAACTTGGTAGGTTGATGATCAATTAATTGATCCTCTTGGTGTTAGAAGAGATAAATTGAAATGCCTTCTGAAACAATTTATTGATTTATCATTAAATGGTTCAAAGTGTAATTTTAATGACACGCATAAAAAATGTCTAAATCCAAAAACACTTTACTCAATAGTTTACCTCAGACTTGGTAAGTCTGACTTTTACTCTCGCCTGATGCTTCAACTAATTTTTTAGAATTGGCGTTGCTTTCTGAAAAATACATTCCTAAATGGTGGGCTTAGGTGATTTCAGGCTTGTGGGCCTCAATGGTTCTAGTGGTGATGGTGGGAGGTTAGAGAGAGCGGGAGAGGAAGAGAGTAGGTCAATGAGAGTGCCATGGAAATGGTGGCATTCACCAATAGAATGAGTACCAGCTGTTTGGTGCCATTTTAAGCAAACCATATAACGTGTGCTTACCATAGGAAATGCAAGAAATTTTTTTTTTCTTGCTTATGTGTGTCAGTCCCTTGATTTATTGATTTTCAAGAGCCTTGATGCTTTTCTTATGTGGGTGAACTAGGCTGCAGAGATTCTTTTGTTATCATTGTTTTGAACATGTTCCTGATGCCACCTATAGTTTGTCTTTGCCCTGTTTACAATAGAGTTTTTTTTTTTTTTTTTCTAAATCAACGTGGATCATCTTATCCTGGAATTGCCTCTGAGCTGGCTCATGTCATTATGTACTTAACTTCCGAGGTTGCCTGTAAGTAGCAAATGGAAGAGAGGATAGATGGTTCTTATGAATAACTGTTTCAACTGTGATCTCTGTCTTGCTGCTGTTGTCATATTTAACTGTTGCAATTACATATGCACGACATAAACCTGTTTAGGCTTGCTGTTATAACTTTTAAGAATGCATGCTTGTAATTCCACCTGGGTCATGTATAGAGCCAATCCTACTGTCAAAGTGGAATCTTTTAAAGACACAGATCATGAAGTAGAATGTGAATGGAAATGTGGATGACTAATCCTGAATGTTTTGGAGAGGTGCATATGAGTTTTTATTGGTCCAGTTGAACATTATGTATATGTTATATATTTCTTGTCATATACGTAAATCCTAGAATTGTCTTTTTCACATGCTGGCAGTAGCAAGTAGCAAAACCATCTGTTTTTTTGGGTTCATTGGTGCAAGAAACTTCTTCTGTTGATGATTTGGTATTGTTGGAAAGTTGGGTCACTTTTTCGCGATGAACAACCCAAACAATGTAGATCAAGTAAGTCGCAAACCTTGGAGATATTTTGTATTACTATGTTGAAGTAGTGCTCTATGCATGAATTATAATCACAATGCAGGGTGAGTCAACTGTAGCAGGATTCGAAGTTCCCACATCACCCGATTCAAGTTACAACAATGCCTATCCTAGTAATGAAGAGGAAGGGCGAGAACCACCTATCCTCCCCCCACACCTGCAACACTCCCTGCTGAATTACCCAACAAACCGAGACCCTTCTGAGTCCCTACCATCGCCACAGAATGTGATTCTAAACCATCTTTACATCGAGAACAGAGAAACCCCGCGAACAATGGTGGCACTTGGGGTCACACATCGCTTTCGATCGAAATTTGTCACCGTTGTGCTTTATAAACCCGTTCAAAGAAGGGGAAGTAGCAGCACTTGATGTTGTCTATGCTAAAACCTGCTTGTGGGCTTTCTTTATCTCTGTCATGATGGGAGCAGCTGCAATATATAGCTCCATTGGGAATTAGCAGCGAGTATATTTTCTTCCATAGAGCTGCTGGTGATCGTGAGTACAAGTATATACTCTTCCTTCAAACTTTAATGAACTTGGCTTATCAAAAATTTGCACGTCTTATAAATTGTGGAAGTCAACTATATTAATGTCGTACCCATTTATCGCAAGTGATATTGTAAATAGGAACCCAAAGCCTACTACTGGTTCAACTTCCAGAGAAGAAAATTGACCTTTTGAATTGAATATTGTTATGGTCTATATGATGTGTTTATAAGGGAAGACTATAGTGTACCCAAATGTTGTTTTTTACCGAAATTTACTACTTTTTTGAGTAAGTTATACTTTTTTTTTGGGGCCAAGTTATAATATAATGAGGTTGTTGAGATCGGTCACGGCATTTTAGGATATTAGGAAGAAAAAAAACTCACGAAAGATTGGGAAGAAGGCATATTAATTGAAAATTTATACCTAACGAAAGCAAGATACTTAATATTTAACGAAGAAGATCCTACCTATAAAAATTCTTTTTTTCTTAAAAAATAAAAACTTAATTAAAATTAAGTATTTATAATGTTGCTGTAGAATAAACCAAATAAAGTTCAAGAAAACAAAAAGGAGCAATACTTGGCCCCCTTAATAGAAACAAGGGGAAATTTATTGCTTCTTTTTTTATTTGAAGAACTCGTTTACACTAAGACTTAGGTCTTATCCATTTGTAGATGGAGCTTCAATAGCAGTTAGATCTAGAATCCATTTGTACATGGAGTTTCAATAGCAGTTAGATCTATTGGGAATTTTTTTTTGGCTAATTGAAATTGAGTGTAAGGTAAGGGGTACAATAAGAAATAAATAACATAAGTAAAGGAGCTAGACTAGAGGGAAGTTATGAGCATTGTGTTCATGCATAACTTCCGTATCAAGGTTAGTGCAATTAACAATATCAACCCAAGTATTTATTACACAGCCTTGACTTTCAACTCTAGATTGGTTTAAATTGAAACCATTTATACTGAAAACTATAGTGTTGATACCTAAAACAGTGAACCAGATACCTATTATCGGTTAAGCATCTAGGAACTTGGAACTTGGAAATATATGTTATTGCTATGCAAATTATTGTGTCCATGATCCTAGGGCTCTTTTAGGATAAAGACAGCTTCATTCTATGTGAGTTTTTTGTGGAAGTAAAATCTTGTATAAACATTTTTCACATACTGATTAGGGTGGGTATTAATTAAGTCGTATTATGTCATGTTTTGGTTATATTATTTCGGGAAGTGTGATATTCGATTTGTGTTATTTGAGGCTCACGTTATTTCACATAAATCGTAAACCAAAAATTGCACGAGGAAATGGAATCGTCGCATGTAAGTTTTCTCATGAATCAAGTAGTAATTATTTAATTCTATCACAATTCTTATAATACTAAATCAATCAATGGGCATTTGGTGCAATGATATTTCTTATCTTGTAAAGATTTTATCTTATTGAGGTTAAGTGTTCAAGTTTGCTCCATCCTCTCTCTCTCCTCCAAAAAAATTAAAAAATATATATAATACTAAATCTGCATCAGTAGATGTCTATTCTATATTAATGTCGTACCTATTTTATAGAAGGTGACTCCGGTACTAAAATGTTATTTTGCATCGAAATTTATCTATGTTATTGAGTAAGTAATTTTATTTTTTTTTGGAGACAAGTAAAAATATAATGAGTTTATTGAGGTCGATCACAATAATTTTAGGATTGATTTTTACCGATTTTATTGTAACTCTAACCATAAAAAATTATATTTTGAACAAAAAAGAAAGTGATAACTTGGGTATGGTTTGAGTACCGAAGTCGTACGCGTGTTTATGGGATAATAGATAAATAGTTGTCTGAAAGGTGCTTCTGCTTCCCTATCTGAAAAGGAGAAAAAAAGAACGAGAGCTAAGTGTACGGTGTAGATTCTGTAGAATGATTAGTCAATGCACTGCTAATTATTTTGGAAACTTTTACCGGTTGTTGATATGGGTACTGAAAATTATAATTTTTTAAGATAAAATTATTATTATTTTCAGGTATAAATTATAACTTTAAAAAATATGTTCGATCATAAAATATTGGGATCGGTACCAGGTCTATAACTTCTCTTTTCAAAATGATAATTTTATTATATAAAATAGTAATTGATTGTACCGATACCGATTTTTTTTTTTTTTAGTATATAAAGATGAGCTTCGTGTGGAAATAAAATTTGGTTTAAACATTGTTAACATTTGGATTACAGATAGGGGTGCTAATCAAGTCGTGGGATGTTATTTTTTCGGTTGTATTATATTTTGATACGATCATGTTCGAAGTGTGTTATTTGAGACTTGCTTCATTTTCACATAAGTCGTAAACTAAAAATTGCATGAGAAAACGAAATCGGTCACATATAAGTTCTCTCATGAATTAAAAATTTACTTGATCCACTTTTTCAAAAAAATAAGAGTGATTTTTAAATTCTGACATTTGTGTCAATTAAATTTTTGAACTAATTTTCATGTTAATTAGGGGTATTTTAAATTATTCATTCGAAACTTATTAGACGAAGAATCCATTTCTTATACTCATCAACCGAAACTATAATTCTAAATCTCTTTCATACCCATCAAACAAAGTAGATTAACAAGTTCTTCAATCTAGTGTAGAAAACAAATTACATAAATGTAAGTTCTTCGAGGAGTTTGATTGACACGAAAATTATTTTAGTGGGTTAATTGCTATTGAGTTTAGGGACTCAATTAACATGAAACTTAGTTCAAGGATTTAATTGACATAAAGATTATAGTTTAAAGATCATTTATGTAGTTTACTCAAAAAATAAAAGAAGAAAATTATTTAATTCTATAATACTTCTTATAATAATAGATTTGAAAATGAACGGAAAAATAAAAATTTGGTATTTTATTCATGCAATATCAGTTATATTTGTATTAATTAATCATCTTATTATTGAATTTATATATGTTGATGTATTGTGTTGAAAATTGAGACCTTTATAATTCTTAAATTCGAATGTTGACAATCTATTTAAGTCAGACCACCAAAAATTTATCTCTTATGAATATTCTAGTTCCGACGTAGAGGATTTATCTTTGACTAGATCAGTTGATGTGCACATAAGCTAATTAAAATACTCCTGATCGTTAAACAAAAAAAAAATGAAGGAAAAAAAAAAAAAAAGCACAGTGCCTGCCTCTTCAATTCCACCCGATCCCAACCATAAACCAAGTTGTTTGTTCGAACACATACACTTGACAATAATTCACCCCAAAGTCCCTCCGATATTGTGAAAGGTTAAGGTGGATCATATGATATTATTTGGGTCCCCATCAACCCTACAAGCAAAGAGTAGCAAACCACATAACTTGAAAACACCTGTCATTATTTGACCCCTAATAGTAGAAGATTGACTATGGGAGGCGGGCGATATTCTGATCTAATTTATTGATATAATTCAGTGATAATGGACTTGATTACTTCCATATTGGAGAGAGTATAGCTGAGCTTCAATACTCCTTGCAACTTCACTGCCCTGCAAGTTTTCAGACACCGAATTTGCCTCTTATTTACCAATTTTATTACTTTATTCATATAGATCGCGTTGATACACTCAAAATCAGTTGAGAATGAGTCAAAAAGCTAACAAACACTCTTACTAGAATGGAGTGTGTTAATGTGACTTGTTTTTTATGTACCTTCGACCTCCACTCGCACGTACCTAAGGGCCAGAAAAGCATCTAAACATGTTAAACATCAATTCCAAATCAATTGGTTAATGAGTAGTGAAATCGATAAAGCTTTACCCTGGTTAAAAAAATTTCAATCAATATGTAACAATTTCTAATTATACCATGGTAAAATGGGGAAAAAAAATTTGAAAGATCTCACTAACACATGAACACATAATGAAAAAGAAAAAGAAACCCAGACTGCGCTTCATTGGGGAAAATATGGTGTAGAAGACCTTTAAATCCTAACCTGAATTTTTCTAAAGTCTTCTATATTTGGGTTGCAGATAACCAGGAGCGGAGCCAAAAATTTGTTGTAGTGGGGACAAATTTAAGTAATAAAATTACTACATTTACTTAATTCAAAGATCTAATTTGGAGATTTAATGCATTGTTACCATTCAATTAATAAAGAGACTCACTCGGAATANTATTTAATTCTATCACAATTCTTATAATACTAAATCAATCAATGGGCATTTGGTGAAATGATATTTCTTATCTTGTAAAGATTTTATCTTCTTGAGGTTAAGTGTTCAAGTTTGCTCCCTNTCAATCAATGGGCATTTGGTGCAATGATATTTCTTATCTTGTAAAGATTTTATCTTCTTGAGGTTAAGTGTTCAAGTTTGCTCCATCCTCTCTCTCTCCTCCAAAAAAATTAAAAAATATATATAATACTAAATCTGCATCAGTAGATGTCTATTCTATATTAATGTCGTACCTATTTTATAGAAGGTGACTCCGGTACCAAAATGTTATTTTGCATCGAAATTTATCTATGTTATTGAGTAAGTAATTTTATTTTTTTTTGGAGACAAGTAACAATATAATGAGTTTATTGAGGTCGATCACAATAATTTTAGAATTGATTTTTACCGATTTTATTGTAACTCTAACCATAAAAAATTATATTTTGAACAAAAAAGAAAGTGATAACTTGGGTATGGTTTGAGTACCGAAGTCTTACGCGTGTTTATGGGATAATAGATAAATAGTTGTCTGAAAGGTGCTTCTGCTTCCCTATCTGAAAAGGAGAAAAAACAGAACGAGAGCTAAGTGTACGGTGTAGATTCTGTAGAATGATTAGTCAATGCACAGCTAATTATTTTGGAAACTTTTACCGGTTGTTGATATGGGTACCGAAAATTATAATTTTTTAAGATAAAATTATTATTATTTTCAGGTATAAATTATAATTTTAAAAAATATGTTCGATCATAAAATATTGGAATCGGTACCTATGTCTATAACTTCTCTTTTCAAAATGATAATTTTATTATATAAAATAGTAATTGATTGTACCGATACCGATTTTTTTTTTTTTACTATATAAAGATGAGCTTCGTGTGGAAATAAAATTTGGTTTAAACATTGTTAACATTTGGATTACAGATAGGGGTGCTAATCAAGTCGTGGGATGTTATTTTTTCGGTTGTATTATATTTTGATACGATCATGTTCGAATTGTGTTATTTGAGACTTGCTTCATTTTCACATAAGTCGTAAACTAAAAATTGCATGAGAAAACGAAATCGGTCACATATAAGTTCTCTCATGAATTAAAAATTTACTTGATCCACTTTTTCAAAAAAATAAGAGTGATTTTTAAATTCTGACATTTGTGTCAATTAAATTCTTGAACTAATTTTCATGTTAATTAGGGGTATTTTAAATTATTCATTCGAAACTTATTAGACGAAGAATCCATTTCTTATACTCATCAACCAAAACTATAATTCTAAATCTCTTTCATACCCATCAAACAAAGTAGATTAACAAGTTCTTCGATCTAGTGTAGAAAACAGATTACATAAATGTAAGTTCTTCGAGGAGTTTGATTGACACGAAAATTATTTTAGTGGGTTAATTGCTATTGAGTTTAGGGACTCAATTAACATGAAACTTAGTTCAAGGATTTTATTGACATAAAGGTTATAGTTTAAAGATCATTTATGTAGTTTACTCAAAAAATAAAAGAAGAAAATTATTTAATTCTATAATACTTCTTATAATAATAGATTTGAAAATGAACGGAAAAATAAAAAATTTGGTATTTTATTCATGCAATATCAGTTATATTTGTATTAATTAATCATCTTATTATTGAATTTATATATGTTGATGAATTGTGTTGAAAATTGAGACTTTTATAATTCTTAAATTCGAACGTTGACAATCTATTTAAGTCAGACCACCAAAAATTTATCTCTTATGAATATTCTAGTTCCGACGTAGAGGATTTATCTTTGATTAGATCAGTTGATGTGCACATAAGCTAATTAAAATACTCCTGATCGTTAAACAACAAAAAATGAAGGAAAAAAAAAAAAGCACAGTGCCTGCCTCTTCAATTCCACCCGATCCCAACCATAAACCAAGTTGTTTGTTCGAACACATACACTTGACAATAATTCACCCCAAAGTCCCTCCGATATTGTGAAAGGTTAAGGTGGATCATATGATATTATTTGGGTCCCCATCAACCCTACAAGCAAAGAGTAGCAAACCACATAACTTGAAAACACCTGTCATTATTTGACCCCAAATAGTAGAAGATTGACTATGGGAGGCGGGCGATATTCTGATCTAATTTATTGATATAATTCAGGACTTGATTACTTCCATATTGGAGAGAGTATAGCTGAGCTTCAATACTCCTTGCAACTTCACTGCCCTGCAAGTTTTCAGACACCGAATTTGCCTCTTATTTACCAATTTTATTACTTTATTCATATAGATCGCGTTGATACACTCAAAATCAGTTGAGAATGAGTCAAAGCTAACAAGCACTCTTACTAGAATGGAGTGTGTTAATGTGACTTGTTTTTTATGTACCTTCGACCTCCACTCGCACGTACCTAAGGGCCAGAAAAGCATCTAAACATGTTAAACATCAATTCCAAATCAATTGGTTAATGAGTAGTGAAATCGATAAAGCTTTACCCTGGTTAAAAAAAATTCAATCAATATGTAACAATTTCTAATTATACCATGGTAAAATGGGGAAAAAATTTTTGAAAGATCTCACTAACACATGAACACATAATGAAAAAGAAAAAGAAACCCAGACTGTGCTTCATTGGGTAAAATATGGTGTAGAAGACCTTTAAATCCTAACCTGAATTTTTCTAAAGTCTTCTATATTTGGGTTGTAGATAACCAGGAGGAGCGGAGCCAAAAATTTGTTGTAGTGGGGACAAATTTAAGTAATAAAATTACTACATTTACTTAATTCAAAGATCTAGTTTGGAGATTTAATGCATTGTTACCATTCAATTAATAAAGAGACTCACTCGGAATAATTTCTTAAATTCATGTTGAGGAGTTGAAATAACTAAACATTATTTAAGTTTACTTGCTAGAGAGTAAAGAAATCTATTCTAAATGTGAGAAATTATGAAATAAATTTAAATGAATGAGTTTTTTTTTTTTTTTTGTATTATACAAAAATCTATATAAAAATCTTTATTCCAAAATGAAATTGAGTGGGGCCAATTGTCCCTCCGCCCCTGCAGATAACAATGGCACAACTATGTAGCAAGACAGGTTATTTCTGGTAACTTAAAGTCCTCCCTTATGCATAGCAAGTGACCTTTATACCATAACCAAGGAGCAAAATATCACTTTAAAATGACTAAAACGTTGCTATTTTCAAACAGACAGAAATAAGGCAGTTATTGAATCAAAATTTCATTACTGCGAAATATTTTAAAATGTTTCAGCATGTTTTATATTTTATATATATAAAAAAAAACATAATTAGGGGCAAGTCACCTCAATCAGCTTACACACAACTCGACTAATCTTCGTCCCGGTCTAAACAAAAACAAGTCATCTACGTTGAGATTAAGGTATTCATGAAAAATAAATTCATCATAGTCTAATCTCAAGGGATTGTCAAAATTTGAATTTAAGATGTCTGAGTTTACAATTCATATCTACGTTGTTTTTAGGATATTTTTATCAATATTTTAAAATGTTTCGAGATATTTCAAGATGTTTAGATATATTTAAACCAAAGGAAATGTTTTGTAGACCTTATTTAAGGATCAAATGATGTACAATCATTTGATTAGTAGTGAGTTTCATCTAACATTAGAACTCACAACTAATCCAATAGTTATATTGAAATTACATTATTAAGTTTCAAATAAAGTCTCTATAGTATTGCTCTTAAACCAATCCTTTAAAACGTTTTCGAAGACCAGAATAATGAATCGAAACGATATTCTAACCTTTGATTAATTATCGATTTTTAGATTCCAATAATATTGTAAAAGATCATATGACCCCTTTACATAGGAAGTGATCTTTTGAGATATATGATGAGCCTAAAGCTTCCTTCTTCACAATCATATGCGGCGAAATGGATTCCTCTTCATTATTTAAATTCCCAGAAGATAGGCAGATTCATAACGCAACCGTTGGGAATCTCCATGGGCCTCTTTCAATGTCAACGCTTGAACCCTATATAGATCCTTAACTTAGCTCCTCATCCTCACCACACTTTGCAGCTAGACACTTCTAGAGAGAGAGAGAGAGATAGACAGATGGGTGATATTGAAGGCTCCCCAGGAAGCTCCATGCATGGAGTTACAGGCAGAGAGCCAGTTCTTGCCTTCTCCGTTGCATCACCGGTGGTACCAACAGATACCACGGCGAAGTTCGCATTGCCGGTGGATTCGGAACATAAGGCTAAAGTGTTCAAGATCTTGTCCTTTGCCAATCCTCACATGAGGACCTTCCACCTCTCCTGGATCTCCTTTGCCACCTGTTTCGTCTCCACTTTCGCTGCTGCTCCACTTGTTCCGATCATTCGGGACAATCTCAACCTAACAAAAGTGGACATCGGAAACGCCGGAGTTGCGTCTGTCTCCGGCAGCATCTTCTCCAGGCTTGTAATGGGTGCAGTTTGTGACCTTCTTGGGCCGCGATACGGGTGCGCCTTTCTCATCATGTTAATGGCTCCTACTGTCTTCTGCATGTCGTTCGTGTCGTCGGCAGCTGGATATATCACCGTCCGGTTCATGATCGGGTTCTCTCTGGCGACATTTGTCTCATGCCAGTACTGGATGAGTACGATGTTTAATAGTAAGATCATTGGACTTGTCAATGGAACAGCTGCTGGATGGGGTAACATGGGTGGAGGAGCTACTCAGCTTCTGATGCCATTGTTATATGATATAATCCGGCGAGCCGGTTCAACTCCGTTCACCGCCTGGAGGATCGCTTTCTTCATCCCTGGTTGGCTTCATGTCATCATGGGGATTTTGGTTTTGACTCTTGGCCAAGACTTGCCAGATGGAAACCTTAGTACGCTGCAGAAGAAGGGTGATGTAACCAAAGATAAATTCTCCAAGGTCAACTTCATCTCTCTCTCTCCCCCCCCC